GGAAAGGCTGACACAGTTAAGGAAATCGCAGCTTCCTGGGATGGCAGGTATTATCACGGTTTGTCGAAGGGTTTCCAGTCTAGCAGCTCCTCTAACCCGACTCACAAAGCAGAACGCAAAGTTTGAGTGGAATGAGGACTGCGAAAGGAGTTTTTCAGAATTGAAGAAGCGACTAACAACTGCGCCACGTCAGCATCTATGTATGTGATATAATTAATGAGATCAACTAATTTTTATCTTATAGAGACCATCACATATATATTAGTCTTGCCGGATCATTAATATCTCACTTTGATAATCCAACGATTAAGAACATTTTAAATTAAATCATAAAATATTTTAATCTCATTATCAAGATCTCCATCTTTATGTAAAATCTATAAATTTAATTAAGAACTTTATCAAATAAACTAAACAATAAGATAATAAAATACTATTGGTATATATTAAAATAAATTGTTAAATAATAATGTATCAATATATTATACGAATAATTGGATCGTTGGTATAACATTTATATTTTCAAGAGTATATACATATATATATATATATATATAAAATAATAATTTAACAAAATTATATTTTGACATGAGAGAAGGAAAGATTCTAAAGTGAAAGGTAAGACAAATTAAAATAACAAAATTGTAAATTTTTAAATATAACAAAAATGAAAGGAGAAAATGTAATTTTCAGAGGAAGCCCAAAATGTAATGGGCCTGGGCTAATAATAAGTGATTAAGATTTGGGCCCTGACGTCACCACCGCTCCATGTTGATGTCATAAAAAAAGTTTTTTAAAAAAAACAAACAAACAAACAAAAAGTGGCCGCTTAATTAATTGTCACTTTTATAATCCATAATACAGACAAATAACAAATACATATTTAAAATTTAAAAAAAAAAAAAAAAAAAGCTATTTGGGATTTGTAAAAAAGTTAAAGCAGAAGATATTCTCGCGTAGATCAAGGATTTATTTTCTTATTTTTTTTTAAATATTCGTATTTTTTTCTAATTAAACGAATATGGTCGTAATTATTATGATTATTATTAATTATTATTTGGTGAGGTTGCAGAAAAGAGCAGGCAGAGGAACCAATTGAGGAAAATGCTTCTTCCACCAACTCAGCAGGTCCACTAATCATATCTGTACGCCAATAATTACCACAATTTTGGAATACAAACATTTCATTATTTTTCTATTATTGGTAAATTATTATAAATCACTCCCTCTACTTTTTACCAAAATTATAACCTAATTTTTTACTATTTATTAACCCCATGTGTATATAATTAGGTGTTACTCTAATTAACCCCCACAGTAATTAAGATACATTTATAAAGACAAAAGTAAGTACGTAAAGATCTTTACAAGTAAATCCCACTAAAATATGGTAAATGTTTGTTAACCCCTGATTACGAAATTTATTTATTTATTTGTTAAAAAAAACTAAAAAGAGTTAGTGCTTTCAAATCAATTACCTTGAATAACAAGTATACACGTATGTGTAAAAGTGTGTGTGTGTGTGTACACACAACACACCTAGACAGAGTAGCATGTGCTTGTACGATATATTAGTAATATATATATATATATATATATATGTTTGTGTGTACGTGTACAATAATAATTGAGAGTAAGATATGATGAGAAAATGAAATGAGAATTAGATGTAAAGAATAATCATAAAAAATATATATATATATATATATATATATATACAAAATCTAAATGGGGTCATGGTGTAATGAAAGCATGCAAGCATGGCTTAAAAAGGTCAAAAGCTTATTCACCTAAACAACAAGAATCATTGTCTTAACCAGACAAAATTCCAAGTTTTTTTCAAACCACACTTAATTTGCCATACAGCTAGCTTATTTGAATCTTAATTTCACTTTAATTAACAGCTAATTACATATTAACGTAATAACAAAATATAAATATTAATTATCCGACCATACACGAGAGCAATAATTCTTAAACAACAGTAACTTGCTGGTAGGAGAAACATGGTGTAACAATTATTGATTTTCCTTTTTTTTTTTTTTTTTTTTTTTGGTCTGACCTGCAACTAATACAACTCCATTATTGTTGTATAATACAGTAAAGCAGATAGAACTGATTTAGAACACGTAACTATTCTCTCCAAAAACACCTTACAGGTACTTGCACCACTCCTGTTTGCTTAATTTGTCTCATCTCCACCTATAATATAATACATATACACTTATATATATATATAATCTCATATACATCTATACATACCATACATCTTTTATTTGGTTAATTTTGTTGAACATATTTGATCATAATTTCAATGGTTCTTCCTATCTTTGTGCTTTATTCCTTGCATTTTTTTTTTTGTCTCACTTTACTCTTTTTTTCTCTTCACGCTTCATTTTGACGTTTTAATACCGCAGATGTTATACACACACATATATATACGTTTATATATATGTATATATAGGTGGATAGATATGGCCTTGAATTAAGGTAGCTAGCACCCAATATTTAACGCTACATTATAATAATGAAACTAGCTAGCTAAACTGTAATTAACAGCTATATGAAATATAATATATAATACTAGTAATAATATATACACGATATGCTCCCACTATCTATAAACTATATATGCACAGTTCAAATTAACAAGAGAAAAACATATATATATATATATAATATAGATTATATGCTAAATATAATTAATTAGCCTTTGGTTCTGATGATGGTGATAGTGCCTCTGCCTTGAGTATGGATTCTGGTAAGAGCGACGACCGCTTTGCCGGAAAGACCACGACCATGAGCAGATACGCATGGCCGGCAAGCAAAATCTCCCACTGGATGCTTCACTGGTCTCGTCGGCGGCATTAGTATTCTCTCGTTTATCTCCTTCAACGTCATGTCTCCTTCAATCCCCTCCTGGTTTCACCAATGCAAATGGATACACCACCTTTCTTATCACCCTCTTCTTTCTCATCTTCATCATCTCATCACTACCAACATTCCTCATACCCATCAACCCTATCCCTATACATAATACATAAGTTCATTACACCACAAAACTAATTTATCAGGGATTTCTCGTTAAGTGAATTAATGTTGGAAGAAGTACCTGAAGAGGAGGAAGAAGATAAGGGAAACTTGGTAGGAAGGGTGTCTGAGCTATAATGTTTGTAAGAAGAAGATGATGAGTCAACAGTTTCAACGGCTGAGATTGCTTCCACCTCTGCCGTTTTTATCTCATCGGGAACGTTCATATTCTCTTCTTCACTCATTGATGTGCTTCTGGGTTCATCTATAACGACAAATTATGCCAAACCCACATCATTAATTTCTCCCAACACAAAAGACAATAAATATAGCATGCCCTCATAATTACAGTCACACATATACATAAATTGTAGAGAATGTCGAGTATAACATGATAAGCATAAAAGGACAATATTTAAGGGTGAAGAAATATTAAAGTCGTCGTCACCTGAAAACCCATCACCACCAGAAATTTGGTTCATCCAGCTGATATTCTCCTCATCCAGGTCCCAGTTGCAGTTAGAATTCCAGTAGCTCTGAAAAATTTTACATTTATTACATTACCATAAAAATAATGATAAACACTCCCTCAATATCTTACCCTAATATAGACAGTAGTAGTAGTACCTTTGCGAGATGATTGAATTGGTTGCTTTCAGGGTCGCCGGAAATGAGCAAGCGACGTCGTTTGGACGTCTCACTGAACTCAAGCAATGCATCTTCCAAATATCCAGTTGAGATATCAGATCCCAGAGGGGAAGCCATGAATGGTGATAATGGATCTTCATCCATGACTGCACACGTACGAAAACAATAGTTAAGGAAATTGCATATGGGTGTGGGTGTTAAATTAAAACGAAAGTAGAGAGAGGAGGGAAATGGACAAAAACAGTGAAAGATATGAAAGAAAAGAAAGTTTGTATGAATACCAAGAGACATGTCTGCGTTGAAAACTCCAAGGTTTTGAAGATCCCAACCGAGGGAAGAGTTATGGAAGGTGGTGCAAGCAGCCATGGAGTAATGAAGGTCACTCATGATTCCTTTTTTTTTTTTTTTTTTTTTGCGCTGTTGCTGTCTGGAGAAAAAAAAAAGACTTGAAAAACTGTTAGGGGAAACGAAAGACTGCTGGCCGTATATTTATTGGCTTGTAAAAGAAAAAGGTGAAAGAGGGGGATGATGATGATGATGATTTTAGAAGAAGGAATCAGTCAACGGCAATGGAGAGAGAATTTTTTTTTTTTTTTCAAAGTTATGCTGGTAGTCTAGGGATGTGGAAAATGGGACTCTTTTAGATTTTTTATTTTATTTTAATTTTTTGAAGAAAATTTTATTTTTATTGGTTTTATAGAATGTGGGGGGCTAAATAATGGCAAAGCTTATAATATCTCTCTCTCTCTATTGTTTTTTTCGTGCATGTAAAAAAAAAAAAAGTAGGCCCCACTCTCATTTTTATAAATAAAAATTTGGAAAAGAATTCATCGCATTTGTTCATTTAAATTCAAATATAATTATATTAAATTATTTAAACGTTACTAGTTAAATTAAAATCAAACTTTCAAATTTACAATTTTTTTAATATAAATATTTATTTTAGTATTTAAATCATATTTATATAATAATAATAATATAATGGATTATATGAAATTATTTAGATAAAAGAGTAAATTTAGTGAGTAAGAAAGTAAAAAGATGGGTCGGACGTAATTCAAATTTCAGCTTTTTCTTTTCTCTTCTTCCTGCTGATGTTGTTACCAACCGCTTCTCCTTTTGGCAACTTTTTCTTTCCTTCCAGACACTGTGGGCTCCACCCAACTCAATTCTCCTTCCACCTCAACTTTTACTCTCTCCAGTTTTTTCTTTTCCTTTTTTTTTTATTTTTACTAATTTTCTCTGGGCCCACTGATTGGCATGCCGGTGGGGTCCAGTACAAGCATGGAAGATCATGTTGGGTGAATGTGGGCCCACCATCCCCTCTCTCTCTCTCTCTCTCTCTCTCTCTACACACTATATATATATATATATCTCTTGGTTTCTTCTTTCTCACTTGAGTGGTCCAAAATTGGGTGATGATGATGATTTAATCAGACGGTGGAGAAAGAGGATACGATTTCTGAGGGATTGATCTGACGGCTAGTAAATGATGGCCCATGTAAGTGTATGATTATAGTTATAGGTTGATGGACAGCTGGATTACATACTGGTCATGAGAAGATTGGGTTAGATCAACTGTTGCTACTATTAATTATGACTGCAATACAGATTCTTAAACCAAATATTAACAACCACTAGACAAAATCAACCCAAAAGGGAAATTAATTATTTATTTAATTCCCACTAACAATTACATTTATGAATTTGAATTTGTAGTTTAAACTAAAACTTCTCTTTATTTCTTTGCTCTCCGATGTAAAAAATATGTTTTGTAAATAATAATTACACTAAAATATAAAATCTCGTGTGAGATATTATAAGTTACCGAATTAGCATGTATTTTTAATAAAGTTTTAAATTTTTTTAATAAATTTTATTTAAATTTAAATTATTAATAGTATATTATTTAAATTTTTACCTAACATTACTGTATTTTTAAAATGTAGTACTATAATATTATATAAATTAATTTAATTTACTCGGTGCATGTGATTTGTGTCTACAATTTTTAATGGTAATTTGTATGCATAAATTGATGATATGGGTGGCAAGTACAAAATAGTTTAATTTTGTTTTTGAGTGTTCTATCATTTAAATTTTAAATACAAACGAAAAGGTGGCCAAAAAGTATATGAATTCAAACGTAATTATTATTCACACATCGATCAACATGTGTTCTTTTATTAACACATGAATTGAATTGCAACTATATCTTTTTTTTTGGGTGATTTGAGATCATAATCAAAGGCTGCAATAAAATATATATATATATATATATATTAATAAATAGATGTATAACTAAACACAAATTGATAACAGTTATTTATGCTTTGGTTTAAATTCAATATCTCAATTTCAACACTTGCTTAAGACTAAAATTTTATATATTACATTGTAAAAGAAAACCCAAATTAGGAGTTAATTCAATGTTTTGGATATTTTAAGTATGTGTTTGATTTAATTTAAATTGTTTTAGGAAGAAAAAAAAATATTATAAATTCTCTAATAACACGTAAATCGGTATAATCTTTTATAATTTAAACTATTAAAATGTTTAATTAACATAGTTTATAAGCTATTAATTATAATAAAATAATTTTTAAAATTACTAATTTTTTTTAATTTTCGAGCTCCCATACTATTTTTTTAATTTGTTCTAATTAAAAGCTAATAAAATAGTGTTACAATAAATTACATATAAACTGTCTGACGTCTAAAATTTCGTGGAAGTATATTATAGATAATGGTGAACGAAACAACCTTAACATGTCGTGTTTTATTACTGCCACTACTTGTACGAAGTGGTCTAATTAAAGAGAGAGCGATATATATATATATATAGTTTTGCTAGATAATAAATTTTTTTGTTTTTTCTGCCAGATTCTCTGTACCATTTTAGTTCATTCTCAGGCGGAATTAATTAATTAATTAAGAAACTCCATTACGTGTAAAATTTAATTTACTTTTCAATTTTTAATCTGTAAAATAACGAAAATATAACATAAATATAATATTTTTTAAAAATTTATAATTAATTTTATATCCAATTCAATATACTTAAATGTGTTGTTTTTATTTTTGTTGGAAATATAAATTTATTGTTGTGCAATTAAAGATAAAAATGAAATTACTTTTATGATGTATTTAATATGAAATTTGTAACGGTATGAAACTTAAAAGGTAATAAGGTCATAAATTAAATACGAAAGCGAAATAATAGAGTTTAAAGTTTATATTTTTTACACAATAATTTAAAATACTCAATAGTATTATGAAAAATGTCATTTCTAAAAAAATAAATAAAAATTAAATAAATAAATAAAAAACAAATAACTGAGCATTCTAGTACGACTTTCACTAACTTCTGAAAGGAATTCGGGTGGTGAACTTATTCATAACCTCCCTTATTGATTGAAATCTAAATTTTATTCCTCTTAATATGAAATAGTTAATGAAAGAGTGAGCTACACTAACTCAGTAAGAATATCACACTACTCATCGATATTGAAAGTTGGTAAAAATCATAAAAATAACTAATAGAACTCTTGATTTAAGTAAATTTATTTATCATAAAAAACTATTTATTGCATATATTTACTGTTGCAAGATTTTCAAAATCGACCTATAAAGATATAATAATTCAAATAATATTTCAATATCATTTTCAAGTGAGCAATAATAACCACCTTCTCTTTTTATTTGCATACTGGTATCCCTGGGAGTCCATAAGGTTATCCTACTACGCGTGAATCAATATTTAACATTATCAACTAACCGACCGTCCTCATTCATCATCTGATATGAGCGCAAAAAATATCATTCATCGATACCTCGTCTGGTACGAAACAACGTTCACGGTAGAGCTCCCTATGTACCCGATCCGTCCACCATCTCCCATGATATCCAGTAAAACTATCATTCATTAATTCATATGACCAATCAATTTTATGTTTGCATATAAATTTTAATTTCACAAATCAACCATAAATCACGCAAGACAAGCAATATATATATCAATGAAGCACAGTTGAATCATTCAACTATTTCGGTATATCATCATGTATTTAAAGCTGTAAATTCAATAATCAGTTACACAAGACAACAAATAAATGACTAAACGGTTCTGATTCCATTGGTAACTTGTAATTATTCTCAAAGTTTTCTAAATTACACAAAATACCATATTATCGATTATTAAGCTTCAATTCTATAACAGAGAATAAGGTGAGTGATTCTTACCAAAATTGGTATCCGAATACTGAACTTTCTACTGCGCCTACTAGCAGTCCCTTAATTTTCTAAATTTTTTTATGGAGATTAAAATACGTTTCACGTACCTAAAATGTAACACCCAATAAATTCTTGATTTTATTTATTATTATTATTATTAATTTTATTTAGTTTATTTATAAGTTTATTATTTTAATTGATTAATTTAATTTAATTTAAATTGTTTTTAATAAAAATAAAAATAATAATAATGATAAAATGGGGTAAAAATATTATTTGGATTTAATTGAAATTGATTTTGGGAAAAAGGGGTGAAAATTAGGATTCTTGGGGTATTTTTGAAAAGAAAATCAGAAATCGGGGGTTAAAACGCAATTTAGAAAAATTGTGCCCCGTCAGCGCCACGTCAGCGGCCATGTCAGCGGCCCAGTCAACAGCCCTGGCCAACCAGGACCTGCCGCGTGGCAAGACCACGTCGACCCAGGAACGGGCCACGTGGGCGATCCGCGTGCGCGCGATCGGACGGCCCATATGCGTTCCCGCGTGCACGGACGGCCCATATGCGTTCCCGCGTGCACGGACGGCCCAGATTTAATCAAAATGGATAGCTGTGATCAAAAGGCAAGAGGGTATAAATAAAACCCCCACACCTGACCACAAAAACCCTAGCCGCGTGCCCTCGCCGGAGAAGACGAACCAGACGCCGGATGAGCCGCCCGCCGCCACCCGCCGCCGCACCGGGGAGTTTTCCGACCGCCGATCGAGGTAAATTTCATACCCCTGTCTCGTTTTTCCACGCTGAGTTCCCCTGTGGCCAAATCAGAGCCAAAATCCCGGCCAAACGGCCGAAACCCAACGGCGCCGCCGCGCCCCTCCTCAATTTTTGCCTCCGATGAGGCCCTTCCCGGCCTCTGTTTGATATAATTTTTATATCACTGTGATCACCATTCTTTTCTCTATAGGTTGATCGGAGCCAAATCACCAAAACACGAACCTCGCCGGAGAGCCGCCGCACCTGAGAGCACCACCGTCGGTAAGCTTCGATTTTTCGTAATTTTTTTGGCCCCCCGAGGGCCCTAGGGTTGTTTTATCGCAGGGACCGATGCAAGTGTGGCCGAAAACGGCCAACCCGAGGCGAATTGTCGCCGCTTGCGGCGGCGCCGTCGCCGGAGCACGGCGGAGCCGCCGCGGCGCCGTCGCCGGAGCACGGCGGAGCCGCCGTGCCGGAATTGCGATATTGGCCAAAAGGGGCCCTGGGTCTAATTTGGGATTTTTTGGGACACGTGCAGGTACCAGTAGTGCGTTTCAATTTCCCGGAAAAAAAATTTAGGGAAATTAGGGACAGCCTGCAAGCGCACTGTAGAGCCGTATTCAAACCCCGAA